ATGAAAATATTAGTTAACTTAAAAACCTTTTTACAAAAATCCATGAAAATTAAAAAAGCCTTGGTTGTAAAAAAGTAAAATTTTTGAAAAAGCCTCTTGAATGTCTTGCTAATCAATTGTTATAAAAATGCTGTAATTTCATTATTATAAAATAATAAAACCTTCGAATCAAATTTCTATAATTAATAAATAAAGTTTTATTTTAGTAAATTATTTTAAAATTAACCAATTGCTCTATTAAATTTTTTTTTGTGTAATCCTATAATATTATTCATTATGTTATCGTTATTCTTTGCTTTTTGTCTTGCTAAAAATGTTACTAGAAATGATAGTTACATCACCGGAACTGTGATATATCGAATAAATGATAATATTGATAAATTTAGAGAAATTACTTTTAAGAGTTTCCCCAGAAATTCTGATTCGTTGGTTACTCCGTTTAAAAAAAATTCTATTGTTTTGATGGTTGGCTGTTATGTATGTGAAGATAATATAGAATATGTATATATTAATTACTATTCTTGTTTTTATTAAATAAATTATAAACTCAATTGACACTTTATTATTTCTCTTAGATCACTATAATTCAATCTGTTCCTGTATCTTATTCTGATAATGAATATACTCTTACCCAAGAAGACCTCCCAAATTCGTCTCTCTTATTACTTTACTCAGCTCCTGTAGTACCAAATTCATATATTCCTGACAATAATAAAGGTCGAGAAAGTTTTATGCTAGCAAGGCATTTGTATAATGGAGTCACTAACAATAAACAAATTGACTCTAAAGTTATCGTATCATATCTAAACGAAAACAATTGTTATAATGCCTTAAAAAATAATCTAAAAAGAACTGTCTTATCTGTCATAGGATGGTTGAAACTTGGATCAAAAAAACTTTCACATATTCTCACTTCTGATATTGAATAAATCTATCTAACTAGTGACGCTCAAGCTTCAAATACTTCGTCTAGTAGAACAACATCTTCACAAGGAGAACTTGACACACAACTTGAAAGCATCGAAGAAAAATATGCTATATTAACATCTTAATTCCCTCAAAAAAGACAAATAATTAATTTACAAAATTCTTTTTTTAAACCCCAAAATGACAAAACTACATCACCGAATTTTATTGAAGTTATCTCCCGAATTCAAAAAAAAGCTTTTTCCACTGAACCTTCTCATGCAGAGTCTACCCAACAAGTTATCAACAAACCTAACTCGCAAAATACGAATGAAACTCTCACTCCTACTGCATCTTTTGCAAATGAAACAAACACTTTTATTAACAATAATATACCTATTGAACCTACCCACTCTGATACTCCTATTCTTCAAGGCAAAAAATCTGATACTAATAAAAAGTGTCTAAGGCTATTTCTACCTGCAAAAAAAATAAAAAACAATTACTCTCTTTTGTAATAATTTTTTTTTTCTATATAAATAGCGCTGTCTACTTTTTTATATGAGGACCCCCACAGCTAGTAATTGGACCTGGATAGGTGCTACCCGGGTCACTCGCGGGTGGACGAGTGACCCGGGTGAAGTTTTGGCCACCCGGGTGGAAGCGGGTGGGTCACCCAACGGGTGACCCATGAACAATAATTGCGACTTTAATCCAAAAATGCACTTATAATATTAGACTAGACACTCATTCAATAAATCGAAGATAAAATTTTAAACGTTACCATTTTGATAAAATTTCTGACCGATCCAAATAAAATTACTATTTTATTTTTACAGCTGTTTTTATAAATTCTGGAACAACTGAAAAAATTACCGATGACCGAATTGATAAGTTACCGAGTCGGAATCAATAAGTAACCGACTTCTGAAGCTTATTAATTCGGTCATCGGCAATTTTTTCAGTTGTTTCGGAATTTATGAAAATAGCTATAATCTCTATTTTCACCCAGGTGACTCATGAATCCACCCGAAGAGTTGCTTTTTTAGCCCACCTGGGTTCTACCCGGGTGGCTCATGGGTCCACCCGCGGGTGACCCGAGTGGCATTTTTTTTGACGGGTCCAATCACTACCCACAGCAAAACAAACTAGTGGGCAAAAAATTTTGATTTTGTAATTTTATAAAAATTGTATTTCTAATACTTCAATTCTTCGAGAAATTGAGTTTTTTAAAAAAAATTTTTTTTGCCCACTGGTTTGTTTTGCTGTGGGAGTTCCTATATATATACATTCTATAAATTTGTTTAATAAATACTTCTAAAAATATTATTTTTATCTACATTTAATTTTGTGTACAAAAATATTACGTATTAAATCCCATTGATCAATTTGTATTACTTCTAATTTTTCATGTGCATCAGATAAAAATCGAACATACTTGAATAAAACAGGCCACTCTGACAAAAAATAAATTAATCTTAATTCATTTTCATTAATTGAATTACTGCTTATAGCATTATGTGCGTCAAAGTTATCCTAAAAAAATAATTCATTTAAAAAAATAACAGAATAAATATGTAATTGAACTATAGTCGATATTTATTAATTCTTATTCATCAAATACTATTGACAATAACTATAACTCCCATCGTCGATTTAATATAAAAAAAGAACATTAATCCAAAATCCACTATTTTTAGGCTTAGATATTCTACTATATGAAAATATTACTAATAGAATACTCTATTAATTGTAAAACTTAATAAAAAAAGCAATTCGTATAATTTATAAAATTTTCAAGTTTTGGTAAAAGAAAAAAAAAATCTCAATCATTCGATATCACAATTGATTGACAATATGTTATTATGCCACCATCGGTTAATTGATAACAATTAATTTTCTCCACGATCAACTATTCGATGATCTTCAATTATATGCTTACAGTTATGAAAACGCATTATCATTAACAATTTAAATTTTTTAAATTTTACACTATTTATAAAATATATTTAAATTATTACATCTATAAATTATTCTGTTTAAAAAGCGCCACATTAATGAGGCTATGAAACATTAATATGACTCATTAAATAACAATAAATAACTAACGTGAAATAAAAATTACAATAATAATATGAGAATAAAAGATAAAGCCAATTATCAGGCTAAGACCAAACGAAAAGAAAAAAAGCATATTAATTTTAAATAAATCATTAAAACGCATAGCTAACTTGTTAAAAAAAGCCATTTATTGGGCTAAGACCAAAAAAAAGAAAACAATAATTCTTAAATCATTGAATCATCATTGAATGATCATTAAGCATAAAAGCTTCTTTATTATTTTTATAAATTTAAACTGTAAAAGTAAAATAATTGACCCAAAGCCCCTCTTTTAAATAATCTTAATTTTATGTTTTGGACCGTGAACAAATTAAAATAATTATCTAAAATCTTTTGTATTTTTTTTTATCGTAAAATTATAAAAGCACTGTAATTTCATTGTTGTAAAATCAAAAAACCTTTGAATTAAAAATGGTATGAAAAATATTATTAATAAAACTAAATTCTAAACCTTTAATTTTTCTGCACTCTTATCGTATTAGATGCTGAATTTCATCATGTAATAATATCAAACTTTTTTAAACTCGTCAAAATATATCCAAAAAATAAATAAAAATACCCAATTACAATATTCAAACTTTTCATCTTACCTTTTTTGCTGAAATATTAACACAATCCAATGAAAATCCTACTATTTCTCTTATTAATAACATTTTTGAACTGTATACTTTCAGGAATGAAATAAATCAAAATTTATCGAATGCACCTACTAATTTTAATATCCCCAAATTACCACTTCCTATATATGAAATTAATAATTTTTCGTATCGACACTTAACTCCAGCTTTTTGTCGTCTCATATATCAATTTCAAACAAAAATCTTACCAGATTATCCAAATATTCCTTGTGCATATTGTTCGATTCTTATGTTAAATTCTTCTGTACAATGGATTAACTATATTAAAGATCACCCATATATAATGCCACAGGCTTTTTCGCTTCCCGTTCATACTAAAATAAATAATAGAAGTATTATTAAAGTTGCTGTTTTAATGAATGTAAAAATGAAAAAAACACGCTGCTATCCTCTCATATTAACCCACATTCCTCCTCAAATACATAATGTTTCTATATTCTATAGAAAATATTTCTCTTCCATTTTCATAAATTGTTCACTGGATCGAACTGCAGGTGCAAATCCTTACACCAACTATTGCTATCTTAAAGGATCTATCAACCTATCATGCAATTACAGAACTCTCCAATTATATTCTGGATTAATTAGATATTACTTAAATATCAATGAGCTATCAAATTGGTTCTATGATTCTTTAATTTCTGTATTTGAATGGCTCAAACAAACAAATCCTCTTATTCATGAATATGCATCGAATATAACTATTAGCTATCCAACCCCAACAACACCTATCCCTATTCCCTTACCCTCAGCTCAATAATTACTTTAGACTACTACTCAATCCACAAATATATATCGCAGTAATATTCCTAATAGTTTACCTTATTTACCTGACTTAGTTGTCCCAAATAATTCTTTTCTCCAAGAAATTCATGACGAAGATGCACATTACAGTCGCCTATTAGCTGGTTCAATAATTAGTACTAATAAGCCTCTTACATTTAATGATTCATACCTAGAAGCTTTAATGTTTCCTAACTTATTTTCTAATGATCAAGAACATTATGAAAATATAAGACAACTACTAAATTTTCAACCTTCAGTTGACAGTTATGAAAAATATATAAAATTACACCTACTTTGTCCTGATCCTCATTTCCATCTCCATTGGTATTGGCCTCATTGGTCATACTTAAACCTAAAAAAAAGAAGAAATTTTTAAACCCAACACCGCATATTGTCAACTAGAAATGTTAATTGTGAATATCACCTAACAAGAGCAGATTTAATTGCTAAAAGCTCTTATAATACCCGTAACATCGCAGATGAAACTAAAACTACTACGATTCCTTCAAGCCTCCGAACCGCTGCTCCTTTTTTTTAACAAAAACAATATCAAGTTAATACTATGATAAATTCCTATGGTTTGCCTCAAATTTTTTATACAATGACTATAGCCAAAGATAAGTGGCCTCACCTATATGAAATACTAAAACAAACTGACAATGGTGATACGCTACCTACTAATCGCCCACTACACACCTACCTATTCCACTGTAACTACTTAACCAATGTTCGTAATAAACTTTGAAAACACCTGACCCTTTCCAGGTGGGGTAAGTGAGAGCATTTTTTTGAACGCAATGAATTTCAAAATTGTGAAACTATACATACACATGGATTCACATACATAGAAAAAAAAATTCCTGAATTAATCTCTTTGAATGTAATCCATGCTGATTTCCCTGATCCCGTCTCTGAATATGAATTACATGCATTGGTATTATCATTTCAGATACACCATTGCGATCACAGATATAGTGATTCAAATTCTAATAAAGATCCATGTTCTAAAGGTTTTCCTCAACCCTTATCTGAAAGAACCTATTTTTCACAACACTCTTTACGTTATGTTTATCGTTATACAAAAAACAAAGACAGAATGGTAATTCTTTATCATCCTGAAACCTTATTAGTATGCCGTGGTCACATTAATTTTCAATATGTTACTTCTACCAGCTTTGCTAAATACATAACTAAATATGTTACTAAAACTAAACCCTTAGAATTATTTAATATCGATGAGACTAATAATTATAAAAAACATATTATGGCAAGACGGTTAGGTGTAATGGAATTAATGATCCTTTTGCTACAATACCCTTTAACAAGATGTTCTGTCTCTGTACATTACCTTCCTTCTACTCTCTCTGATTTACGTATAAGATCTGTTAAACCAATTCACCTTTTACATCATATAAATGATAATGGAGATAATATTGATCAAGATGATGAAACACATATTGGGATAATGCCATTGATAAATACTTTGACCAACCTGACCATGAACGTTTTTGTGAAATTACATATCCTAATTATTTTCAAAATTACACATATAGGTTTAAATTACCTGGCTCAAATTCAAAACTATTTCATACCCAGGATCG